CACCAATGCCCAGATTTTATGCTTTTCTTGTCTTTATATTTTTTCTTTAATATAATGAATATTACATTGCTTTATTTTATGCGACAACATTTTATTATGTAAGTATTTTGACTAATGAGAACTAACAGAATTGAGGAGCCTTAGGCCTCATTTGAGATCTGTGTAAACTAGAGAGATTGTCCTGGGGTTGAAGAGATGGCTTAGTTGGTAAGGTACTACACTTTAGTGCAAGCATGAGGACCTGAGTTCAGTTCCTATCACCCATGTGAAAAAGAGTCCATTGTTCTAATATCAGAGCTTGGGGAGGCAGAGACAGGAGGATCCTTGGGGCTTGGTGGCCAGCTGGTCCTACAGAATCCTTAAGATCCAGGTTTAGTCAAAGACCCTTACTCAGAAGTAATGTGGAAAGAATGAGGAAAACACCTGAAAATGACCTACAGCCTTCACACACGTATGCATACATACCACACACATGTCCATGTGCATACATACCACACAGACCTACAAAAAAGGAAAGGAAAAGAAAGACCTTGTCTGTTTTTCTCCCTGCAGGAACCTTGGTCGTCATTTGGCGCCTATACTGAAAATGAGTGCTCAGAGGACTCAAAACTTAGGGTAAGACAAATGATGTCCTTCCGGTTCGTCCTACTTGCTTTTTTTTTTAAAGCTTGTCTTCAGAGGCTGGAGAGATGGAAAAAAGAAGAGGAAATATTCTCTTTTCTGTATTAGTTTAAATTTTCTGTACTAAAATTATTCATACTTCTGTGTGTACACACAGTCAGTAAATGTATGTTTACAAAAAGATGAGAAAAAGATTAGTCAATAATACTTTTGTGTTCCTGGGTCTGCTGGTGGTGTTCCTTAAACACAGCAGGAGCTCAGTTCATGTTTGTGTTGTGTCTGGGCTCTGATTTTACTATAGTCACAAGTCAGTACACTTTAGCTGTCTGGGTTAGCTAAGGGATTCTGTCTAGGCTTATAGCCCAGGAGGTGGTGAGTGGTTTGTTAGGCACACATTGGGTTTGCTCCTCAGCTGAGGGGTGGAGTAGGGCCCTCCCATCAGCCTTTCATGGCAAATGTAATTGTTCTTTGTCATGTACAGAATAAAAACCTCATCCTTCTAGGTTACTTTCTGCTCAGAACTCAGACATGCACAGGTTACAAAGGATTAGGCCATGGGTTTGAAAACCCAGAGACATGTGGGGATGTGCTGCGAGGGACTTGGAGGAAGGAGGACCAATGCTTCACCCTGGTGTTGTTTATGACTGAGGAAAATTATTTTCTTTTCTGTCTAGGAATCATGCAGCTCATTGAAACAAAATCTATATTTTGTTCAAATGACTCCTCGTAGAACTTTATTTACAGAACACTTAAGTCCATTGAACTATGATATATTTTTCCACATGGTCAAGCACTGCTTTGGGAAGCGCAGTTCCTCAATAATACAACATTTACGGTAAGTAGAAATTCAACGAAGACAAACTATAAAAGTAGTGACTTAATGTGACTGTCTCCTGTGTTGTAAGGTGGTTTTTCACGTTGTGATTTGGAGTAAGGTGTGCCTGTGTTTTATTTACCTGTTAAAAATCCTTCCTTCTGGACTGGGGAGATGGTTGAGAAGTGCTTCACTAATGCTGTAATTCTAGTGCCTGTGGCTCTAACCCAACACCTCCCTTTCCTCTGTGGGCACCACACACACAGCATGCACACACCTACCTGTAAGATAAAACTTAAAAAGCAGTAAATACCTTTCTCCCAGTTGTGCATTGTTTTCCACATCTCCCTCTGACCTTGTGTTCATCTTTAAGCAGCAAAACCTAGGATACTTGAAGGCTGTTTTATCTTTTTTGTTTGTTTATTTTATTTTTATGTGTACACACATGTGCTGTTCCTGTAGAGGACAGAACAGCATTTGCACCCTCTGGAGCTGGAACTACAGAGCTGGTTGACATAGGTGCTAAGAACTGAACTCAGGTCCCCAAGAAGAGTAGCAAGAACTCTTTTTTTTTTTTTTTTTTTTTTTGGTTTTACGAGACAGGGTTTCTCTGTATTGTTTTGGAGGCTGTCGGTCCAGCCTGGCCTCGAACTCACAGAGATCCACCTGCCTCTGCCTCCCAAGTGCTGAGATTAAAGGCGTGCGCCACCACTGCCCGGCTCAGGGTAGCAAGAACTCTTAACCACAGAGCCACCTCTCCAGCTGGTGGGGTGTGCTCTCCATTCACCTTGAATCCAGCAGTCCCTAATGTATTGTCAGAAGATGAAAATAGTGTTAAAATAGTTATTTTAATTAATCATCATTTACCCTGTAACCTTAATGGTTCTGTTGACTAGAAATATTTATTGTTAGTTAATTTATTTTTGTTTAGTTATTTATTTTAGGCTGGACTTTAGGTAGCCCAGCCTAGCTTACTTTTTGGGAGTTAGAGATGACTGAACTTCTGACCCTCTGGTCTTTACTTCCCAAGTAGTTAGATTATAGGTGTGTAGATATGCACCAGTGTTACGAGAAGCTTTTCCTTGTGAGAAACCATTCCGCCCGCCTGGTTCTTGATCCGCATCAGTCCCAAATAAACACACAGGAGGCTATATAAATTATGAAGCTGTTGGCCTTGCTTGTCTCTTACTGGCTAGCTCTGCTTTAAGTAATTACCCCATAATTGTTAATCTAAGTATGTCTCTTACCGGAGAATAGTTCTGGGCTCCTACCCCCATGGCGGTTACATGTTGACTCTCCTGTGTTTTCTCCTACCCAGAGTCCTCCTGGACTCCTAGTCCCTCCTATCTAGATTTCCTATTGGCCAGACAGTACTTTATTGACAAATGCACAGGACTTCCCCCAACATCTCCTCTTTTCTGTTTAAACAAAAAGAAAGGTCTTAACTTTAACATAGTCAAATCATATATAACAGAACAGTTATCAAGTAAGAATACAGTTGCAATATTTTGTCTATCAACATTTAGCAAGATTTAAAGAAAATATCATCCATCCCATCCTTGTGAGTCCAAAGTCCTATATGTAGCTTATTTTTTATCATAACTAAGGAAAACTATAATTATAACTATCTGTCTTCAACTCCATCAAAGACCACAGAAGGATAATATATAAACACTAGGACGAGCCCCCTCTCCCTACAATTGATATTATAAGTTTACACCTGTTAGTGTTAGTTTTCAATTATTTTAGAGTTGGGATTGGAAGGAGGTGTTCATATTTGGGTGTTTCTTTAAGATAAGTTTAGGTTTAGATAGAATAGATGTTTGATACATTTTGTTCATGGACACAAGTTAGTTGTCCTTTTTTAGACTAAAAGGGGAATTGTAGGAGGAAGTCTGATGCCGCCATTAAACATGTGACTTACTAAGTCTATGCCGCCATTAAACATGTGACTTACTAGAGGCGCATACAGATGAGGTAATAAAAGGGCGGTTTACCACACCGCTAACCACACCCACTTTAGGCAGGACTAAAGACATATACGGCTGGACGGAAAGACGTATACGTACGTAGGCGGAACTACGTCACTAGCCAAGCCCACTTTTGGGCATGGCTAGGGGCGTTACGGGGGAAGGCATAAAAGACAGCGCACAGGAAGTCTCTCTCTCTTTTCCTGGAGTTCGGCTTCCGGTCCAGTCGCTAGCTGAGATCTGCTGGGCTTCTTGGGGTTTGGTATCTTGTGAGTAATTTTCTACATTAAATACTTAGCTTCACTTTCCGTAATTGTGTGTCGCGTATCGTTACAGCGTCCGTAAAGCCAACACACCAGCACACTGTTTATGTATAAATGTAAACCCATAATCTCAACTCACAGGACCTTGGGGCAGAAGAATCATTCACATGAGTTCAAGGCCTACAATATAAATTCCAGATCAGACTGAGTTGCAGAGTGAAACTAACTTTAAAAAGACCTCACACATGTGGTATACGCCTTTAATTCCCAGTACGTGGGAGTGGGGGGGGGTGGTGGGCAGAGACAGGTGGATCTCTGTGGACTTGAGGCTGGCCTGGTCTTCATAGTGAGTTCCAGGCCAGCCAGGTAGGACCCTACCAAAAAATAAAAAAGATAATACATAAACTAGAATTTTTGTGAGAATTGATTACACCATATTAAACTTAAATTGGTGGTCAGCTCTGAAATTTTAGGAGTAACTGTCCAGTCTTCTGAGTGCTGAGATTATAGGCTTAACATTTATTTTATGTAAATATTTTTTATCCAAACTAAGTATAGTAGTACATACATATAATACCAGTAATTAGGAGGCAAGTTAGGAGTTCAAAGTCATCTCTGTACAGAGAGTTTACATATATATTATATATATAAACTCTGAAATAAATTTAATTATGTATGCTAGACATTTTAATTGAATTTAGGAGGTGGGGTGGCTGTCTTGGATTTAACTGGCAATAGATGTGAAAGGGAATTAAACATGTTTTCTTGATTTTCCTTTTCAGTTCACTGAGTACTGTTGAGCCTATTGAAATACTGAGGCAGGTGAGAATAAGACCTGGACAGACAATACTTAACATGTATCCTCAAGACTTCAAAAGACTTTTTGAAACTATAGAGCGTTCCGAAGACAGTGTCTTCAAATGGGTCTATGATGAAAGCTTGGAGGACATTATAGGCTAGGAAAGCATGCTGCGAGCCATGAACTGCACCTGCTCATCTATTTATTTGGAAATTGTGAGACAAATGAAAACTGAATTTCAAGAAGTTCACGCACTTTCAACAGAAGAGAGACTCCTTGTTTGGCACAAATGAGGAAAATAATTTCTTCTGAAGTTGATACTTTTGATGGCACTGGAAAAAAACAGTGGTTGCAATTTTATTCAAGATGGAATAAAATGGAAAGCTAAGTTGTGGTTTGATCAGGCCAAGTTTTGCCTTAAACTACTATCTGCTGTAGATCAGTGGTAGAACATACACCTAATAGTCCAAGGCTCTGGTTTTGCTCCTCAGCACAGGAAACTTAAAAAAAAAATCTATTTACTGAAAGGTCAGTAGGTATAGGGTATTCCCAGTTGTGATTTCTTTACTTTTTTTAAATATGGAAGTTTTCACCATTGCCAATTGCTTGCATCTTTCTCCAGTTTCTGTACTGTTAAGCTTAGAAAATAAACTGATTTCACCAGTCATGGTGGTGCAAGTCCTGGGACTTGGAAGGTAAAAGACCCATCCGTTCAATGCCAGCTTCAACTGTATAGTGACTGTGAGCCACTTTAAGCTTATTTCACAAAGGGATTAGTTTATGTTTCAGTATGTTGAAATGGATTATCAGATACTATACAAGGTAATGTTTAAATTTAAGTATGTTTAAACTTAACAGTAAATTTTTTTACATAGTATTTTACAATTTTTTGCCTCTAAATGCATAAGAGAAATATTAAAGGGATCCCAAACTTGCTCACTTTAGTTCTATCATACGTAGTGAGTAATGTGTCTGTAAATGAAGTTTGAGGAGCGGAGTGCAATGGTGTGCCCCTGCAGTTGCAGCAGTGGCTGAGGCGGGAAAGTTGAGTGGACAGAAGTCGGAGACCAGCCTTGGTGGTGGTGGGGTCAGGGACAGTTATAACATTTAATATTTATCAAGAAAACTCAGGAGTCAGATAATCAGGGTAAAAATCTGAATGATCAGCAAAGTGACAGAGAAACCACCAGTGACTCTCTGACACTCTCTTATTCTCCCCCTCTCCCTCTCTGTCTCCCTCTCCCTCTCTGTCTCCTCTCTCTCCTCACTATTTCTCTGTCTCTCTCTCCTTCATTCCAAAAGGATCGAGACTGTCTCTAAGTCCCTCCCTACTACATCCTGTGTCTATCTGTCTTTAGTCCTCCAAAACCTCAGTGGTTAATTTTGCTCAGCTAGTAGCTAGTTCCTCCCTCTGATTCAAAGCAAACTTCATTGGAAGTCTCAGGAATGTCCAAATGTGATCATAATATCACACAACAGACAGGAAAGCAAGATCTCATCTTGGCAACTCCTGAGTTTAAATTCCCAGCATACATGTAAAGCTGTGCACAGTAGTAGGAGTACAAGAGGATGAGACATGGAGAGGAACTCGCTAGCTAGACAATTAACCAAGTTAGGAGCTCTAGATTCAGTTGAGAAGGTTCCAAAGATCCCTTCAATGCCCAGTCCCTTCAGATGTCTTAACTCTGTCTTCCTCCATGCATTCTGTACAGGGAATGATCTACAATAACTATCTATTTGATTTTGAATGACTGAGTTGATTGACGTCATAAGCAAAGAACACATAACAACCAGGCATTGGTGGTGCACGCCTTTAATCCCAGCACTTGAGAGACAGAGGCAGTCACATCATGTAGTTTGAGGATAGCCTGGTCTACAGAGTAAGTTCCAGGACAGTCAGGGCTACACAAAAAAACCTTCATAGACTATCTGCAGATTGTAGAATCCTGATAGGAAAACAAGCAAAAGGAACAGAATCAAACCAGGCACTTTCAACGCTCATCATAAATGATCAGGGAAGCCCCCTGCTGAAATAGTCCTAGTGGAGTTTTCGTGGTTGAGAGATTTCCATGCAGAGGGTTTTCTACATGGACTAGCTTTCTGGTCTCAGCTTCTCATTGCTGGCATTTTTAGATCATGATAAACAACAGTTACCTCTTTTGGAAAGTCTTTGCTCTCTAGCTGTTCCCAAGAGTGTGATGTTTTGAGCCCAGCCACAGCCTTCACAAGGACTAATGGAGTTAGAAGCCATAGAACTCTGTCCTTACGACCCAAACCACAGGATACCAGCCAGCAGGTTACAGTACTATCTGGCATCATGCAAAAAGAAAAATCCAAAGATAGCTAAAAAGATGGCTAACTGCAAATACGATGCTTGTCTTGTGGTCCCAATCAAAAGGCTCAAGGAACATGAGGCCCACTGTGTCAACAGAACTGTAGTTGATGATGAACCACTTAATCTTCTTAAGATGACTCAAGTTCTGAAGGAGATGAAAACTACTCCAATGCCGGCAATCAGATTACTGAGCCTGATGGTCTGGAATGTGGACCATATGCATCGTTTTCCTTCATTTGCTCTTGGGGCATTTGCTCCAGAAATGCTGGTTTGTGAGAGTGACTCAAGAGACCTACAAGAGGCTATGGCTGAAAAACATCCTGACAGCTACAAGTCCTGAGGGAGAGATCAGAAAAACGATGGAGACATTGTGAATTAATGACCAGCAAGCAAATAGAAGTTGAGATTTTCCTAAGGTTTAAAAACATCTAAGTAACAACTCTGTCATTTTAATACGTTTTTATCTAAATAAAGAATATTTTCCTTTGACAAAAAAAAAAAAAAGGAGTTCAGTGTTTTAATACCTTTGGCAGCTTTACGGAATCAGGGGCCAAGCCTGACCCAGGACAGGGAGTCTTGAGAACACTTAAGACACACATGCTGGGGTCAGGGATGCAGGGATGATTTTTTTCCCAACCACTTTCGCTTCTGTTATTCTGTTTGTTTTTGAGTTCAATCTTACTATGGTAGTCCTGGCTGGCCTAGAACCAAGCTGCCCTAAAACAGACTCACTTGCCTCATCCTTTCAAATGTTGGGATTAAAAGGGTGTATCACCAGAGTCCATGATTTATATTTCATCACTTTCATATAAATATTTCTAGTATCTATTTCTTTAATGTTTCTTCTACAAATTTTTTGATCAATTCTTGATCAACACCAGGCTTGCCTGAGCTTTCTGAACTCCACTATACCTTGTGATAATAACCTATGACATCACTAACCACTGGCAAATTACGTTTTCCCAAATCTTAGCACTAGTATTGATCAAGAATTGATGATGAGAGCCTGGTATTAGTGGCGCACTTCTTTAATCCCAGCACTCGGGAGGCACAGGCAGGTGGATCCCTGTAAGTTTGAGGCCAGCCTGGTCTACAGAGAGAGTTCCAAGACAGCCTCCAAAGCTACAGAGAAACCCTGTCTCAAAAAAAAAAAAAATTGATGATGAGGACTTGAAACTCCTGGTGGTGCATGCCTTTAATCCAGTACTTGTGAGGCAGAGGCAGGAGGAGCGCTGTGAGTTCTAGGCCAGTCTGGTCTATGTAGCAAGTCTACATAGCAACCATGAATTCTTGATCAACACCAGTGCTAAGCTGTGGGAACCATATTCTACCATGTCTTATTCAGTGTCCTATTGCCTATGACCATGGCAACTCTTATACTTTAATTTTTTTTGTTGTTGTTGTTTTTTTTTGTTTTCCGAGACAGGGTTTCTCTGTATTGTTTTGGAGGCTGTTCTGGAACTCGCTCTGTAGACCAAGATGGCTTCGAACTCACAGAGATCTACCTACCTCTGCCTCCCGAATGCTGGGATTAAAGGCGTGCGCCAACACCCGGCTTATGGCAACTCTTATAAAAGAAAGCATTTCAGTGGGGCTGACTTACAGTTTCAGAGGTTTAGTTCATTCTCATGGTAGGTAGCAGGGTGACATGCAGGCAGATATGGTACTGGAGAAGTAGCTGAGGGTTCTATATCCAGAATCACAGGCAGCAGAAAGAGAAAACCACTGGGCCTGGCTTGGGTTTCTGAAACTTCAAAGCCCAACTCCAATGGCACATTTCCTTCAATACAGCCACACCTCCTAATCCTTCTCAAGTAGTGCCATTCCATCATAACTAAGCATTCAGTTATATGAGTCTGTGGGGGCCATTCTTATTCAAACCATCATATACCATCAATTCTTTAAGATTTTATTTTTACCTTTGTATATATGTTTGTGTAAGTTTATGCCATGTGTGTGTAGCTTCCCTAGAGACCTGGAGTTGCCTAGCATGGGCATTGGGAACTGAATTCAGGTCCTCTAGAAAAGCAACAAGAATTGAACCTCTGTGCCATCTCTCTATCCTTTCAGTAATTCTTTGGTTTTTTTGTTTGTTTGTTTGTTTTTTGTTTTGTTTTTTGATGCATAGTCTTACTATGTAGTCCTGGTTGGCCTGGGACTTGCTACTTACACCAGGATGGCAAATATTAGTTGGGCGGTGATGAGCTTTAATCTCATCAAGATAGAGGCAGAGGCAGGTGGATCTCTGAGTTCGAGACCAGCCTGGTTTACTACAAGATCTAGAACATCCAGGGCCATACAGAGAAACCCTGTCTCCAAAACACCAACCAACCAATTGAACATTAGTAGTACAGGTTTATAGTTCAGGAAGTCAGGGATCACATATGCTCTGGAGTTTGAGAGCTGTCTGGGCAATATACAATGTAGTAAGACGTCCCCTGAAAAAAGGTTGTTGGGAACCATGAGTCTTTAGGCCAAAGCACAAGTACAGGCCTCAGTAAGTTTCCATTTACCGGGTCTCAGTAGGTTTCCATACCCCGAGCTGTTTCTCAGAATTCAGGTAACTGTCAAACTATGCACCAAAGATAATGTTTTCTGTCTTTAACACTGTTGACTTGTCCTGCGAGTCTGGACAAAAGGTTGGGAATGGTGACTTGCACTTAAAATTTTATACTTGAAAGGTTGTCACAGAAAGATTACCATAAATTTGAGACAATATTGGGCTTCATAGTGATTTCCTGCATATGAGACGATATTGGGCTTCATAGTGATTTCCTGCATATGAGACGATATTGGGCTTCATAGTGATTTCCTGCATATGAGACAATATTGGGCTTCATAGTGATTTCCTGCATATGAGACAATATTGGGCTTCATAGTGATTTCCTGCTTATCTAGGAACCCTGTCTTGAGAAACAAAAACAAAACAAAATAACCCCCAAACCAAAAACCCTACATTATTAGTTATCAGAATGGAGTCAGCTAAGCTGACTTTTAAGGATTGGGCAGATGGTTCAGTGGGTTAAAGCACTTGCCACAGAAACCTGACAACCCAAATTTACAGCCTCAGGATTCATGTAATAGTCATATTTGGTGGCACATGTCTGTAATCCCAGTAAGCCTATAATATGGGAGGTGGGGCCAGTTAGCCTGGAGCACACAGTAAAGCAGAAAATGAGACACTGCCCCCCAAACAAGGTACAAGACAAGGACTGACAACTGGGGTGCCTCCTGACCTCCATATGTATACCATGGCATCCATACACCTCCAACGGAAACACACACACACACACACAAAGGAAAAAAATGTTTGTCTATTTGGCTGTCCTGGAATTCCCTCTGAGAAAAGGTGTGTACCTGGGTCAAAGGAAAAATGTTTTACCTAGGAGAATGAAATAGCTGTTCACTCAATTATCTCCTAGATAGGGTCAGGGTGCTGAAAGGTCATTAAGACAACTGAAGGCTTGCATCATTCCAAAAGGAGACTCCTTCAGCTGTATTTAATGATACTTTTGTTTGTTTGGGAAATGTCCTTAGTTTGTACTAAGAAAATAAATGACGCAGCCAGGAGTGGTAGCTCATGCCTGTAATCTCTCAACAAAATAGGTGCTTTAGTTAGGGGTTACTATTGTACAATGAAACAACACAATAAACACAAGCTGGAAGGAAAGGATTTATTTGGCTTACATTTGCACATCATAGTCTGTCACTGAAGGAAGTCAGGACAGGAACTCAAACGGCAGGAACCTGGAGGCAGGAGCTGACACAGAGGCCATGGAGGAGTGCTGCTTACTGGTTTGTTTACCATGGCTTGCTCAGCCTGCTTATAGAACCTAGGACCACCAGCCCAGTGATGGCACCACCCACAATACCCTGGGCCCTCCCTAATCAATCACTAGTTAAAATATCCTACAGCAGATCTTATGGGGGCATTTTCTCATTTGAGGTTCCCTCCTTTCAGATCACTGTAGTGAAAAACCTCAATACACCCCCCCCCTTTTTGAGACTCAAAAGGTCGCCTCAGTGGAAAATTCCCCAAGGTCCCTTCCCCTAGACAGGGAACAAGGTCGAATTGAAAAGAACATCTGGTCCAGATTGTTGACGAAGGAAACTGGCAGGCTATAGAGATAAGTTTAATTCTGACCTTGTGGGTTCTCCAGGAAGGATGAGTTATGCCCGCATTCTAACAGTACCCCTTATTGCTTGCCCAGATCTGCACCTGCAGTAGCTCCACTTCTTACAATACCCCTATTACTTTGCTTGCCAAAAGTATGTATATGAAAAGAAAACTGTCCTAAAGCCCGGCGTGTTCAGTTAGCTAAGGCTGCTGAATAGCCCACAGACGCCTGTGTAAACAATAAACCTCTTGCGGTTTGCATCCAACTGTCTGGTTATTGAGCTAGGGACGTCACCGGGGTATTCAGCCTGAAGCCTGATAACCTCAGGTCTTTCAGTAGCTTGTGTCAAGTTGACTTAAAACTAGTTAGCACAGTAGGTAAGTCTAGGAATAGTCTGGCAAACTGGGTTCCTGCTTGGCTAGAACTACATTTATGCACCCCCTCCCCCCAAATGCTCTTAGCAGCTAGAGAGCCCTACCACCTCCATCACTGTACACACATACACCTTTCCAAACAAAGCAGCAGGTTGCTCAGATCTGTTCCTAGCAGCCTCTTAGTGTTGGTAGCCTTTGGAAGGCGGGCCCTCATGGAAGGAAGTTAAGTCTTTGGAAGTGTGCCCTTGAAGGGGATGTTGAGACTCTGGTCCATTCTCTTTTTCTCTTGTGCTTCCTGGCTACTATGAAGTGAGGACTACCTCTGACCTTTGCCTCCTAAGTGCTGGGATTACAATTCTGTGATGTCATGACAGCTTATTTGTGGAATTCTAAAGCTTCTAGACTAGAAAGTTTTTCCTTGGTCCTCTGCCAAAGAAAAAGATGGAGAATGGAAGCTAACATAGGGGAAGCTGACAGAGAAGTAAAGAGAGAGAGACTGAGCATGGCATGGGCTTTTGAAACCTCAGAGCCCACTCCCAGTGACATACCTCCTCTACTCCAACAAGGCCACACTTGAGACTCCTAACCAAACAGTTCTACTAACTGGGGCCCAAGTCTACCACAGGTTTGCATTTTTAAATCACTGTAAGAAGAGAGTAATTGGGACTAGAGAAATGGCTTAGTGGTTGAGAGCATTGGCTGCTCTTCCAGAGGGATCCAGGTTCAATTGCCAGCACTCACATGGCAGCTCTGTAACTCCAATTCCACAGGATCCAATGCCCTCCTCTTACCTCAGAAGTCCCTGCACACACATGAAGTTGTGCCTAAGTTGCAAAGCTTCCCAGAGACCACCAGGAAGACACACCCACTCAACTACAAAAGCAAGGTTTTAATTGTATTGATTGTTCATCCAACCATGACAGGGACCCTGTGTCTGGCTAGCTGTCACAGCAGCCCCCAGAGGGAGTGAAGTTCCCTGTCTACCGCTAGGTTTTAAAGACAAAAGTTAAGGATTACATCAGTAGGTACGGGTTGGTTTCTGATTGGTTGACACTTGGGAACAATTAGGAGAATTTCTCAAAGCCATATTTTAGCATGAAATACCTGTGTACCAATTATTTTCATTGGTCAGTGCTGAGAGGAACATTCTGTGGTTTCTATGACATTGTCTTGTTACTTGCCGGTGACCTATTGTTCATAGATACCAATAGTTCAGAACTATATCCTGGAGACTATAGGGGAGGTTTTGGTCTCCCCTGCAATTTCTTTTGTGACCACACAGTTTCCAGAAACCAAGTATCTAGGAGGCTGGGGTGGGGGTGGGAGTGTCTGGAGTTTCTTTGTGTTCTGTTTTGGCCCCAGGCTCCAGGGGGCCAGAGGATCTGGAGTTTCCTTGCATCAGAGGCCTATGAGTCTTTTCTGTAACCTGTCGTGGCTCCTAAAGCAGGGGGCTGAGTGAGGGTCTGGTCCCTTTATTTCTAATTTATTAGAAGCGAAGCCTTTGAGTTTAGTTTACCCCTTTCAATGGAACACACATATATGAGGCAAAACAGTCCCCCATAATAAAAGTAAATTAAATGTTTAAAAAATTTTAAAAAGAGGGGTGGGGAAGAAAAAAAATTTTAAAAGAGAAAAAGAAAGAGAATAATTACTGAAATCAGCATGTTCTTGAAGTGATATATATGTCTGATGACCTTGAAGCTACAAAGATGTGCCTTAAGATTATTAGAAAATGAAGAATTTTGGGTTTCATGTGTAGTAAATACATATCATATCACTGTAAAATCTAGAGAAAAGAATTCTAGCTTCCTGAGAAGGTATATCAAAAAGTTTTAAAAGAATTCAGTAATTCTTGGTTAACTGTTCACTCAGATTGCTGGCTGCTTCTTTATTAAACATTTATAGCTACTATTTCAATTCCCCTCTTGCTAATAGAATAGTGTATTAAACGTACAATTAGGGTTTATGGGGAATTGAGGCTTATCATTCCATGCTCCAATGATTTTCATCAGATCATTAAAAAGCAACTGAGTGAGAATGATGGAAAAGGGGCAAGAAAGCATCATTTTTGTGTTTCTTTAAGTTTAATGATTTTTCTGTGTGATGTATGGATGCGTTCATGATTCACGTGCATTTGAGTGTCTTTGTGTTTGTTTAAGGGTTAGAGGTCAATGTGGATATCTTCCTCAAATTTCCACATCTGACTGGGGGTGGTGGGACTGGGAATCCACCTGCCTCTGCCTCCCCAAAACTGGCAACATAGTGTGCCTGGTTCTTTTTAGTTGACTACTGGGGATCTGAGCTCAAGTCCTCATGCTTGTTTGGCAGGTACTTTATACTTGAGCTGTGTCCCACGCTCTCAACTGTTTAAATTTTTTTTGTTGTTTTTTGTTTTTTAGAGACAGGGTTTCTCTTTAGGTTTGGAGTCTGTTCAGCAACTCGCTCTGTAGACCAGGTTGGCCTTGAACTCACAGAGATCCGCCTGTTTCTGCCTCCCGAGTGATGGGATTAAAGGCATGTGCCACCAACGCCTGGCCTGGTTAATATTTTCTTGGGTCATCAAGATTACTCATCTGGTAAACCAAAAGCCTGAGATTGATACAGGGATTCCACAGTGGAAAGAAACAAATGACTCCCTAAAGTTGTCCTCTGACCTGACCTCATGCGCACATATCTAACATATGTACACAAAACAACAAAGAAAATAAAAATATAATTAAAAATTAACTTTAAAAGCCGGGTGTTGGTGGCCCATGCCTTTAATCCCAGCACTCGGGAGGCAGAGGGAGGCAGATCTCTGTGAGTTCGAGGCCAGCCTGGTCCACAAAGTGAGTTCCAGGACAGCCTCCAAAGCTACAGAGAAACCCTGTCTCGAAAAACCAAAAAAAAAAAAAAATTAACTTTAAAAGCTTTATTTCTAGGTGGTGGTGCACGCCTTTAATCCCAGCTCTAGGGAGGCAGATGCAGGCGGATCTCTGAGATTGAGGCCAGTCTTGTCTACAGAGCAAATTCCAGGATTGCCAAGGCTGCACAGAAAAGCCCTGTCTTGAAAAACCAAAAAGCAAACAAATAAACAATAATCCATTCCCAGTCCTCTGGGCAGGAAAATGGGTGTTTTTGTCTCTTCCATTGAGAAGAAGTCCCTCTGTGTTTAACATTCTTGGTTTTCCTATTATCTGTGGGCACAAGGACCATTGTGTCCCCAACAATCAAGTACCTAGAATTTTATTCTAAGTCCGGTTCTACTGTTTATTTCTCAATTTCTTCACTGTTTTGAGTGGAAGCGCCACCCGCGTTTGCTGATTTCATGCCCCTCCCTCGCTCATCCCAGCTCCCACCCCAAGTGTACTAGGTTCATCATACCTGCCCTTTGCAGCTGACATTTTCAAAGTTTCTCTTTAATGTCACCTGTATTAGGATTTCATCACTTTTTTTGTTGTTGTTGTTGTTTTGTGTTGTTTTTCTCGACAGGGTTTCTCTGTATTGCTTTGGAGTCTGTCCTGTCACTCGCTCTGTAGATCAGGCTGGTTTTGAACTCACAGAAATCCCCCTGCCTCTGCCTCCCGAGTGCTGGGATTAAAGGCGTGCATCACCAACGCCCGGTTTTAGCTTGCACTATTGTTGGGAGGTTTTACACCTATAATCCCGGTACCCAAGAAGTGGAGAATAAAGGATTTCTGAGTTCAAGACTTGATTGTAACATACTTTCAAACGGTTCAACAAACTTTATTCTAGCCGGACAGTGATGACACAAGCCTTTAATCCCAGCACTCGGGAGGCAGAGGCAGGCGGATCTCTGTGAGTTTGAGACTAACCTGGTCTACAAGAGCTAGTTCTAGGACAGGCTCCAAAGCTACACAGGGAAACCCTGTCTCGAAAAAACAAAAACAAAAAACAACAAACACATTCTGAAATGGTTTATCAGTAATACGGGCACACACAGGTGGCGTGATTCAAAACAGCCAAGAATTGTTCATCTAGGTGGTGAAATGCAGGTGATGTCCCCGGCCCTATCAAGTTTTCCCTATGCATTAAAATTGGCATAATAAGCAGGGCGTGGTGGAGTGTGCCTTAAATTCCGGAACTGAGTCGGCTGAGGCAGGCAGATCCCTTGAGTTCCAGATTCCTTGGTCAATATTGGGAGTTCCAGAACAGCATATGGTACACACATTGAGATTCTGTCTGGGAAAAAAAAGGGAAAAAATAAAAAGAGAGAAAGGAAAAGAAAAAGGAAAAGAAAAGGAAAGAAAAAAGAAATCGCGCAGTAAAATGAGGTAAGACACAACTCCAGCCCGGGTTGCAATAGGCACTCCTGCGCATGCTCACACGACCTGCGCGTTCGTCCCCGCCCCCTAGAGTACGCAAGCGCAGGACGCAGGCGCGCAGTCAGAAAACACGAGACTGAAGCTGAGGGTCGCTTTGCGGGTCTGAGGTACGGATCTGTGGAAGGATGGAGCCACTGAAGGTGGAAAAGTTCACGACCGCCGACCGGGGAAATGGGCTGCGTGCGGTCGTCCCACTGCGCCCCGGGGAGCTGCTCTTCCGCTGCGACCCTTTGGCGTACACCGTGTGCAAGGGGAGTCGTGGCGTCGTCTGCGATCGCTGTCTCCTGGGGTACGTACGGAGCCGAGCCCAGGGTGCATGGCTCTGCGGGTGACTGGGGACCTCTCGGGGTCGGCTCGTGGGGTGCCTGCAGCACCCCAGGCTGAAGCAGGATTTGGGGGAGCCAGTGGTGCAGATGAAGGAGAAGCGTTGGGTGGTAGGTAATTGGGCAGTAGGTAATTTTGCGGGGAACAAAACATCCATACCTTGTGCAACGAGCTTCATCGGTTGTGGAAATCAGAAGTGTCAGGGGTGGGCGGATGTGGGAAGGAGCAGGGGTGTGTACGTCAGGTTCAGAACTGAGGCCCCACCTTGCGGGGGGGGGGGAGGGAGAAGCCTGCTGTTTATGGTGCACTTTGGTGGTCTGGGTTTTGTGTTCCTTAGGTATAGGAAAATGAATGAGACATCCTTAAAGAGCCAATCAAATGAGAATTACAGTGTAACAAAAGAGCAGACTAGAGATGCAAACAGTACACTCTTAGCTGCGTAAGTTTCAGAGGGTTCACGGTGTGCTTCGCCATGTAGTGGCTCCGCAGACAAATGCAATCATCACCTGCCTGTAGATGCAACAGTTTATGTGACAGTGCCTTGGAGGTCTGGAAGCACAGTGTCAGTGTAAGGTGATTTACTGTTTATAGAACTGTACCACATACATGTGTATTTATAGGATTTGTATTCCGTCAACCCAAAGCAGGGTCCCATCATGCACTGGGGTCAGGACCCGGAGACAGGTAGGTTGATTTTGAATTGACCACTCCTCCAGACTTATCAGTCGGTGGTTGGGGTGGGTAGAGGTGGGGAAGTGGTCAAGCTTCACCATTCTTTGCACAATCTCTGTGTAGACTTGGCTGCCCTGGAACTCACCTGTCTCTATCTCTTCTAACTCCCGAGGGCGATGGCCATCACCGTCCAGCCTCCACAATATTCTTGTTTGGTTTATAGTAGAGGACTTTGTTTTGCGTTAATAGTAGATAATAATCTTTTTTTGTTGTTGTTGTTTTAAGAGACAGGGTTTCTCTGTATTGTTTGGAGGCTGTCGGACCAGCCCGGCCTCGAACTCACAGAGATCCACCTGCCTCTGCCTCCCGAGTGCTGGGATTAAAGGCGTGCGCCACCACCGCCTGTCTCAGATAATAATCTTATTTGTTATTTTGTGGAGTAATGATGGCAATGACACATACATACACACAATTTGTTGAGGAGAGGGAAGATTGAAGTTTGTGTAATTAAAGTAATTCATTCCTTTCAGGACTTGGCCTCACACGTCACACACCTCCTCTCACTGACTAATTAGAGAAAGCAGGACTCTTCATTCTGCTACACACTTTGGAGTATATTCAGAGTGTGGGTGTGCTGCACTCCATAGCAGAGGGCTTACTGCCTAAGTCTTTAATAGCCAAGTGGTAAAGACAATGTGTACCTCCTCATAGGCACTGTCTGACTGCTGTGTGTCTCAGTGGGTGGAACAGAACAATTCGATCAAAAACAGTGACAGACTAGTAATGGAATTATCAGAAATGATCTTTTAAAACTTTTAAAGTTTTATTTATTTTTATTTTATGTGCATTGCTGTTTTGCCTGTGTGTATATCTATGTGAGAGTGTCGTCTCCCTCGACTGGAGTCACAGACAGTTGTGAACTGCCATGTGGGTGCTGGGAATTGAACCTGGGTCCTCTGGAAGAGCTGTCAGTGCTCTTAACCACTGAGCCATCTCTCCAGCATTTTTAAAAATTTTGTGTATATCGGTGTTTTTCCTGCATGTATGTCTGTGTGAGGGTGTGGGATCCCGTGGAGCTTGAGTTACAGACAGTTGTGAGCTGCCATGTGGGAATTGAACCTGGGTCCTCTGGAAAAGCAGCCAGTGTTCTTAGCCTCTGAGATCTCTTCAGTCCAAGAGATTTTTTTAAATTAAGTTTATTGACGTTTTTATAATATGAAATATTGGCTTTCAATATGACATTTTTGTACACACATATCATTTTGTACACATATTTCAGAGTTTGTTTTGAGTCACAAGCTACAAGGAATTGTCCATTTTCCTGGAATAAAGTGCATGAGCCTTTTATGGGTAGCAGTGCCTCTTGGTTTATCATACTACATCATTGCTTTTATCACTTTTCTTTGGAGAACCATGGTCCTTCAATGACAGAAGGAATTTCTTGAAATGCTGTGTGTGTGTGTGTGGGTTTCTCAGCACTGCTTTAAGGCTGTGTGAAACCTGGACCTGAGGATTGGCAGAAACCGAGTCAGAACTGCACAGCAGTGGTTGTGGTGGAGTCTGGGCAAGGTTGCTTCTGTTGCACTGTAGTAAATGGACTCTGCAGCACTTTGCACAAGGGACCCTGTTGCTTCTCTTTGGGAAACTCATTATTGTTAGATTTGTTCTCTTTGTTGGATTTGCCTAGCTTAGGCCTGCTATGGAATATTACTTTAATTAGTCAAGGATGTGTTTGTTACATTTGTTTATGCTGCATAAAGATGTGTTGCTTTACCTGTCTAAGGCATCTGGTTGGTCTAATAAGAAACAGAGTGGTGTGGGGTGATGGTGATTCACACCTTTAATCCCGGCACTCTGGAGGCAGAGGCAGGTGGATCTCTGTGAGTTTGAGGCCAGTCTGATCTACAGAGTTAGTTCCAGGACAGCCAGAGTTGTTACACACCTGAATGGCCAATAGCTAGGTGGCCCTGGCAGGCAGAGAGAATAAGAGAATAAGAAGGAGAAGAGGAAGAGAATGAGGGAGGAGGAGAGGAAGATGCCCCAGCCACCGCCAGCTAACCAGACGTGGAGTAGGACATACAGAGTGAGAGAAAGGTAAAAAGCCCGGAGGCAAATGTGGATGAAGAGAAACAGGTTAAAATAACTCATAAGAGCTATTGGAATAAACATAGGATAATGCCAGGCATTCATAACTATTACGTGTCCTTGTTGTGACCTTGGAGCTGGTTGGTGGACCCAAAGAAAGCCTACTACACAGGCCACTGCTTGTATCTTAACTGACAGAAAAATTGAGAAAGTTTTGGTCTTCTTGATTCAAAGATAGGAGGCAGCCTGTACCTAGTGTTGTAAACAAATGCTGTGAGTCCAAACAGATGTACCCTTCCTTTGTGCTGGTTAATAGATACCTGCTTACTAATTCTTTATATAAAACAGTAGATTTGTGCTTACTTTGGGTTGCCACTCAATAGGTATACCATAATTCACTGGCATTTGCAGGCTCTAACACACTCATATCTGTGGTTATCTAATTGAGAATCACTGCAGCCTGAGAATCTAGTTAAGGAAATGCTGGTATATTCTTAATGAGGTTTGCCATCACTACTGAATGAATGTCCATAGCTGCAGGATAAGTTTCTGTGTTCCTTTCTTTGTAGGCAAGTCATTATTTGCTTATTCATCATCACTTGTAAAACTCTTGAGAAGAAACTGTTGCATTGTTTTGTTTCTGTAGCCCTAATGCAGAACACACATAAACTCTTATTTTGTAACATAGGTGTCTGGCAGAATTATTATTATTTTTTTTTTCAAGACAGGTTTCTCTGTGTAGCTTTGGAGCCTGTCCTGGTATTCACTCTGTAGACCATCCTGGTCTTGAACTCACAGAGATCTGTCTGCCTCTGCCTTCGAGTGCTGGGATTAAAGGTGTGGTACCATGTCTGTTAAATCTTTATCTCTTTTATTTGAATTATTATACAATTACATAGTAAAACATGGACTTTGTAACATTTAAGGGGAGGGGATAAAAATAGAACAAAGGAACAGATATAATTACTTTATTAGTGTCCAGAAATAATTTTGAAAAGCTTCTATTTGCTTTCTTTTGTATTTGATTAGTACATATTTGTGTATTTATTTGTTCATTTGCTTACTTTTAGACAGGATTTATTTATTTATTTTGGTTTTTTCGAGACAGGGTTTCTCTGTGACTTTGGAGGCTATCCTGGAACCCGCTTGGTAGTCCAGGATGGTCTTGAACTCACAGAGATCCGCCTGCCTCTGCCTCCCGAGTGCTGGGATTAAAGGCGTGCACCACCAACACCCGGCCTAGACAGGATTTCTTACAGTTCACAATAGCTAACTACTAGCTACACAGCTGGGGATGACCTTGGACTTCTTACCTTCTGACTCCCAAGTGCTGGGATTATAGGGTGTGTACTAGTGTGTCAGACTTTTTTTTGTTTTTAAATCAAGAAACTGCTTTCTGGCTTGTTCTCCTTAAGGAATGGCTTCTTGTTTTTCTTGTAGTGAGTGGGAAAGACAAGAGGCTGAGGTAGAGTGATTGCCTAGCAACTAGAAAAGAAAAAGATGAGATTCTGAATCATTGCAGTTGTGAATTGGAATCATTCATATTTTTCTCTGCTGTTGTACGTATTTTTTAGTTTGCTGCTGATACAAGATTGATTGTAAAATGAGTTGTGTTTACTTTCAGCTTGATTTGGTTAAATGCAGAGTGTGAAATTTCATTTTATGGTCTGGAGAACTGGCTCAGAGGCTAAGTAAGAGCACTTCCTGCTCTTCCAGAGGACCCAGGTTCGATCCCCAGCATATGTGTCAAGCGGCTCACAACCACTTGTAATTCCAGCTGCAGGGGATCTGCTCTTCTGCTCTCTGCAGGTATCTGTTTGCACACGGCATACATACACATAGATATACATAAATGAAATTTTAGACATACACCTCCAGATAGCCACGCTGTAATCGTCTTGTTTCTCTAGGTCTTCTTACCAAGGCACTACCTGGAGTCTAACTTCTCTATGCTAGCACACGAAGCACACAGTAGATGGAAATTATTTATGCTGTCAAAGGACAGTATTTTGGGTTTAGAAAAGACCAAGTTGCCTTTAGCTTCCATATCAATACCCTCTGTGGATAAATACTAACTGTTCCTTCTGTAGTTAAAGAGCTTTGTGCCTCCCAGGAGGGAAGAAGATGACTTGGATAACTTGGAAGTGGGAATGTCTTCCTTTTCTGCCTTTGTGGATTGTGGAGAAAAGTGGGCAGATGTAGGGTAAACACATTCTGGAATGACACGCCCCTACTGCTCTCGTCTGGCTGACGTTCTGTGGTTATGGTGGGCGTTGAATGGACTGAGGGACAGGTAATGATCATACAGTAGAGGGCACTTGTCTCTTCCTCTTTTTCTCTGTGTTTGGGAATCCCATTATTTTTTTATAATGTTGGGGATGGAACCCAGGGCTTTACATACGCCAGGCAAGTGTATGGTAGAAGGAGGCGGCTGCCTGGGGAACCTGGGGAATAAGGGACTCTGAAACGCTGTGAAATGCTGTCTTCCCACAGCGAGGTAGATGGGGAGGAGGTTAGTGACTGAGTGAAGGGTAGGCATCGTGACAGAGGACTGTGTGATAGGGACTCTTAAAGTCAGGACCATGGGCACCAGGGATGGGAGTACAATGACATCCCCAAAGATGAGATGGCTACTCCTTGCAGCAGAGAACGGTGAGGATACAGAAAAATACCAGCGTCTGAGGCGTTTGCTACACTTCATCCAGGGTGTCCCTCTCAGAAGACCTTGGAGAAACACCTCTTCAGAGCAGCTACTCAGAGCAGTCCTGGTAAGGAGTGATGCTCCAATCTGATGCTCATGGGAAAAGACAGATGTTGTTTGATACATTTGAAATTTCTAGACTGTTTATTAGGGAAATATGTAAGAAAAAGATGAGTTATAGAACAAAGCACATCATATTCAGGAGATAGATTAGGGCTCTTGAGAAAACAAGGTAGCCACATTTGGGTTGAAATGTATTTTTAGGCCGTTAGTAAGATGGCGGAAGTCTGTCTTGGCTAAGGACTGGCCTTGACTGGAGACAAGGGGAAATCGCTTCAGGCCTTATGATGAAAAGAGTCCTCAGGAAAGCAGCAGCAGTGACTGAAAGGTAAGAGACAAAGTCAGGCACAGTGTCACACGCCTTTAATCCCAGCACTGGGAGATAGAAGTAGGCAGATGTCTGAATCTGAGGCCAACCTGGTCTATCTAGCACATTCCAAGACAATCAGCTGCTTAGTGAGACCCTATTTCAAAGACAAACAAAACAAAACAAAACACCCAGGGAACCTAATTCCATTTTCTGGCCTCTGCAGACACTAGGCATGTGCATATGATGCACAGACATGCATGCAGGCAAAACTCCCATACATATACTGTAGTACATTTACAAGACTAAAAAAGAGGTGTGAGACAGCCCTGGGAGTGGTTGCTAAGTGACTCGGACTTAAGAGGTTGAAATAGTTTTCTAGGAGAATTGCCTGCTGAAGTGTGAGCTTGGTGCCCAGTGTTGTGGGGCCACTAAAAGCTTGTTTTCATTTGAACACTTAGCAGAGCAGAGCTTTTTTGTCCTGTCTCAGTAGCCAGCTGCTTGGCTCTGAGCCTTGCCCTGACCCAGGGATGTGGAGGAAAGGGAGCTTGGGATTGTAAGTGAGGGCGGGTGTAAAGGTAGGTCTCAGCCTCCAGACTAGGGGGTGGGGTCATGTGCAAAGCCAAGGGCTGTGAATGTGGCAGAATTACAGGATTAGAGGTCTTTTTTGTGGCTTAGTACAGGGTCCATGTCACTAAGTCACCCAGAGTGGCCTGAACTCACTGTAGTCCAAGCTGGCAGTGAGCTTCTGATCCTCCTGCTTACCTCCTGAGTGCTGGGATTTATAGGCACATGATTGACTAAAGGCCTTTTCATTTTTACTTATTTCTGTGTGTACATGTTTATGGGTGTACATGTGTGTGGACATGTTTGTGGGTGTACGTGCATATGTGTGTGTGTGGATGCCAGAAGACAGCTTCGAGAGCACTGTCTCAGGCACTGTCCATGTTTATTTTTTTGAAACGGGGGTGGGGGGGGAGGGAGGGTAGGAGACAGACAGACTGGGGTTTTGAAACCTCAGAACCCATCCCCAGTGACACACCTTCTCCACAAGTACATACCTACTCCAAAAGGTCACATGTCCCAGTCCTCCAGAGTCAATTCCTGAACCTGTGTCTAAGCATGCAAATAAATGAGCCTATAGTGGGATCCATATTCTCATTCAAACTACCCCCACCCCAGACAAGAGTTTCTCTTTTTTTTGCAGGCTAGAACTATAGAGGCATTTCGAAATCAGGGCTTGGGCATTACTGGTAATGGCTGATGGGTTTACACGAGGGTTGGAGGCCTGGATTGAAATGAGATGCACAGACTGATAATTAGGTAGGTTGAAAAAGGATGCTGTGGTCATGACTTCCTGTTTTCTTTGTAGATAGGAGTCATAATTCCTTTTGTTTTGCTTGTTTTTTTTTGCAAGGAGGTTTGGGAAAGGGTCATGTGGCTGAGCTCTGAGCCTGAAAACCTTTGTTCCATGTGATTGCTACAGCAGAGGACAGGATGAAAACGTTTGGTCCATGTGATCGCCACAGCAGAGGATGCTCTTAACCAGACAGGATGAAAACGTTTGGTCCATGTGATCGCCACAGCAGAGGATGCTCTTAACCAGACAGGATGAAAACCTTTGGTCCATGTGATTGCCACAGCAGAGGATGTTCTTAATCAAGACAGGATGACCTATTCTGTGGACAGCAGTAAGCTGTTCTCTATTTCCAGACTCTTGATGCTTTTTCGGAAGGTCCAGACTGCTTGATGCCTGTTTGGAGGGCTCAAGAACAGAAAGACATTGAACAGGTAGAGGATGGTGCCTGAAATTTCTACAGCACAGACTTCTCCAGTAGTAATTCTATCAGTAGTAATTTATCCTGGGCTCCCCAGATGGTGAAACCCCCAGGACCAGCCAGCTACCTGCCATCAGGTTTTTATTTTTTTGTCTTGTCATAGAGACTCCTTCCTATTGGACTGCCCATTTACTCCCTGCATTTGGATTTGCTCTTTGCTGCTTGGAGTGTCATTTCTGACGTCTAGATATCTTTATGCTGTGGAATTCTTGTCTGCCTCTGACCTTCATGGGCAGGACTCAGAGTAGCCAGCTAATGCCTGTGATCACGACTGCACTTCATGTATTCTGCCTTTGGAGGCAGCCCCTTTACAGGCCTAAAAATTATTAAAAACAGATTCAGTTGGAGGATTAGAAAGAAAAAAGCTGCTGAGGATGATGGCAAGTTTGTTTTGAGACAAGGTCTGTGGCCCAAGCTGTGTTGGAACTCACCGTGGAGCCAAGGATGACTTTGAGCCACTGGTCCTCTTGGTTCCCCCTCCCAAATGTTGGTGACACAGGCATAGACCACTATACTTATCATAAAAGTTTTCCTTATGTGGGTCTTATCTATTAATATTTACAGCATAAAGTAATTAAAATTGGGATGATTAGGGCTACACAGAGAAATCCCAAAACAAACAAAACATTAAAACTGAAATATTGTATAATAATTATTGTATTATACTAATTTATTTAATTAATTAATATATTTTTCACTATGGAGTTACATGCACTACTGTGTAACAAGGTCCTCTGATGCTTACTGTGTAGTCCAGGCTGGCCTTGAACTTGAAACAATCCTCCTGCCTGCAGCCTCTTGAGTGCTGGGATTATAGGTATGAGTCCCCACCCACCCGCTCCAGCTCACCCCAGACTGGAGCTAGCAGTTGTGTTTTAGATTCTATATATAGTTATTTGATACCAGGTTTCATACAGTTCAAGGTTAGTCTCAAACTCTCTAGCTGACAATACCCTTGACCTCACCCTCTTCCTTCTGACTCCCCATATCCCAGGACTGGACTCAAAGGCCTGTGCCACCATGGGCTTGGGGCAAGCAGTTCTTTAAAGAGGGAGGGAACTCTGTGATCCAGTCAATTTATCAATAGGTGCCAATCAATAATGTACACTCAAAATAGAGAATGAAACTGCTGCCACTATAGATCCAGCCGGTAACACCTTCACCGTTTCTGCTTCGTTCCAAAATGGGATCGGAACCAAGTCTGTAGCTCGCTGTCTGCGCTCCTAAAACCAAGAGAACGTCTTTCATTCTGCCCTTGTCTTTTATTTGGGTATTCGGATCACATACCCCCAGAGAAGGCCACGCCCATTGGGCCAAGCTGCCCCAATACAATTGGCTGTCCGATGGAATCCCCACAGCAGTCATTCCTGCTTCAACCTTTGGAGGCCTGGGTTTATAGGTATGGTGCTGGCCTCACAGGTGGATCTCTGTTGTTCAAGGCCAGCATGGTCTATAAAGTAAGTTCCAGGGCCTCTAGGACATCTCCATTGATGAATCTTCAAAGCTGTCAATGGGACAAGATCAGGGGATGCAGCCCTTTCTCTCTGACCAAGAGACCATTACTCAATTTGCAGAAATTCTTTGTATCTGTGGAAGGAATTTTCAGGATGAATCAGTATGAAGAGAAGTTGGAGTTTACCAAGAAGCAGTTTAAATAATTATATATTTTGTGTGTGTGCACACGTGTGCCGTGGTGGTCAAAGGACATTTGTGGGAGTCAGTGGAGATCAAGTTCAGATTGCTAGCTTCACTTGCTTATCACCATTTCACTGACGATCAGAAGCAGCCTGAATACAGATGTGTGAGCATGGGCATTCAAGGAGACAGGCACCCTGGAAAATGACAACATACTCCCAAATACGGCTTTGGACATCCCAAGAGTCTGAGGTCCCTGTTTCCTTAGTTTTCACCGTCTGAATAATTGTGAAGCCTTGCAACTTTTGCTACTCTGGTGGGTTAGAAGTGCATTAAATATGGTTTTAATTTGTAAAGGCATGTGTGTATGTTGTCATGTGTGTGTACATGATGTATAGACCATAAGGCAGTCTTGGATGTTGTCCTCAGTAATGCTACCCAATTCCTTTGAGATAGGCTCTCTATTGACCAATAGGCTGTAGGGCTGGCCAGCTAGCTCTAAGGCATCCTCTTCAGTCTTCAAGTGTGTGCCGCCACCGAATGTTTCCTGGGTCCTGCTGCTCAAACCAACCTATTAGTTAGTGTACCCATCTCAAGGAGTACTTCTTCCAGGCTTCCTTCCTCCTATTATCTGACACCCACGCGCGATCCTTTCCATAAGGGTCACCCAAGGCTTTGTTGATGTAAGTTGACTAAATATTGCAACCCCGCCCTGCTTTCTCTTTCTGTGTGCTGGGAGTAGATTCAGAACGTGTGCACGAGGAAAGCTCTACCTTGGAGCTGCACCCAGAGTGTGTGGAGGTCTTGCTCATGATTGACACTTGTTGTCTCTGGTGCCTTCTGAGGAGCGGGGGGACAGGAGTAGAGGCTCTGGCAGGTGGGACGGGCAATGCCTGAGGAGGACTGCGGAGAACTTGCCCAGGGGACGCTCTTAGCGGTTTAACCGGCAAAGGAAGAGCAAAGATCAACCTCTAAAGCGAACCCACACTGAGGAATTTAGGGGTTATGTGGTGGACATTTTCCCAAATGTTTGTACCCCCAATTTAGTTGTCTATCTTTATATGTGAGTTAGCTGGAAATTCCTGTGCTTTTAATTCAGTTCTTGATTCTTTAGCTGATGGTCTGTGGGTCAGCAGCAGCAGCAGCATCAGGGAGCTCATCAGCAATGTGCCACTTTATGCTCTAACACACACTGAATCAGAATATACATTTTCTGTATGTGATTTCAAGATGGCTCTGTAACTTGTTTGCACATTCAATTAAAGCAAGTTGATTTCTGTACTTTTAAAATTCTTAGCAACCTGATTATTTGAAAGCTGCTTACTCTGATAATATTTGAAGGCTCAATGATTTTTACACGTAACCTACATATCTAGAGATTGTATTCATCAAATTTTAGATTTCCTATTGCCATCTTATAATAGAGGCAGAGCTCCCTCTGGTGGACAATGGGAAGAAAGGCACACAAATACTTTGCAGGAAAGCAATTTAAGTTTTCAGCTGTTTAAGTGTTTCAAGCACTTGTGATACTGAGGCAGAAAGATCTATGCAAGTATGTGAGCAGTCTCCACCCCACTCCAAAAAACCCCCAGACAAACAAAAGGAAAACAATAGTGGCCCTCCCAACTCAATTACTGCGTTTGGCTTTGGTAGAACAAATGTGCAGAATCCCCGAATTCAGTCTACAGCGTCATGAACACACAAGGTAATTCCCTAATTAAAAAAAACAGCAAAATAATCCCACACAACAAAAAACAAAACACCATAGCGTCCCTCACCATGAAGAAATACTGTGGCAGATGTCTGTTGTAAAGGTGGGTTGTTAACAGTGGCTGTTTTCAGGATTAAAGTCACAACAAATACTTGATAGCCCTGTTTGAACTTGATGTACTTGCTGTGATCTGGGGAAAATCAAGTTTTTTTTTTCATTTTTTGGCAAGTAAAAGACAATCCTTTATTGTCACCATTTTGAGCACATGACCCTGCCTCTGCTCTTCCTAATCAGAACATTTAATTTTAAAGTCAAATATGAGGTTACCTTGGAATATAGGGCCCTAACTGTAGCCCCTAGCCCATGTTCTCTCTGTGACTATTTGCATAAGAACTGCTGTCCCCCTTATGAGACTGCAGATAGGACAGATGGTAGAGAGTAGCAAGCTGAAGAACGCCACAGGCAAAGTCCAACCAGTGAGCTCTAAGTCCAGTAAGGTCCAACCAGTGAGCTCTAAGTCCAGGAAAGTCCAACCAGTGAGCTCTAAGTCCAGGAAAGTCCAACCAGTGAGCTCTAAGTCCAGGAAGGTCCAACCAATGAACTCTCAGTCCAGTAAGGTCCAACCAGTGAACTCTAAGTCCAGGAAGGTCCAACCAGTGAGCTCTAAGTCCAGTAAGGTCCAATAAGGTCCAGGTCGACAATCACAGGTGATGGGAGAAGCTGAAAGCAAAACTGAAGAATGAATGAACAGAGAGGCCTGGCGTAAAGGTTTGTTCCCCCTTCCTCTCCTCCTACCATGTGTGCTCTGGGGATTGAACTCAGGTTGTCAGGCCGGCAGAAGTGCATTTCTGTACTCATTGAGCATTCCTGCTGCCCCCTGGTTTTGGTTGGTTTGCAGTAGGGTTCACTACATGGATATTTTGTTTATTTCATTGATTTATTTTGTTTTCTTATTTTTTAAAATTACACCTATCACTTACCTGTGTGATTTAGTTTTCTCTTGCTGTGACAGAGCACCGTGGCCAAGGCAACTTCTAGAAGGAAGAGTTTATTTGGTGATCATGGTTCCAAAGGGATAGGGTCCATCACCGTCATGATAGGGAGTATGGCAGTATGCAGACACAGGGCTGTGTGACACATCCTCCCATGAGGCCACACTTCTTTTTTTTTTTTTTTTGGTTTTTCGAGACAGGGTTTCTCTGTGGCTTTGGAGGCTGTCCTGGAACTAGCTCTTGTAGACCAGGTTGGCCTCGAACTCACAGAGATCCACCTGCCTCTGCCTCCCAAGTGCTGGGATTAAAGGCGGGCGCCACCAACGCCCGGCTGAGGCCACACTTCTTAATCCTTCCTAAACAGTTCCACCAACTGGGAGCAGCATGCAGCACAGGCGTTGAGGACCCATCTCCAGAAACAGGCTGCACAGCCACCCCCTGGACAGCCTCATTCTTGCATCCCTTGAGGGCCGTAGATCAAAAGTCTTCTGCGAGGGGACTTTGCTAATGCAGAGTAGCCTTTACCACTGGCTTGTGTTTCCTGTTTATAGAATCCAATTGGAAATTCCTGTGACAGGTGTAGTGACCCCTGCGACCCCAGCATTTGGGAGGCAGAGGCGGCACCACCAGCTCGAGACCAGCTTAGGATACATAGTGAGATAAGACCGTGTCTCAAAAGAGTTCTGGTTTCTGTCACTTGTTAAATATGATGACTATTTTGTCTTAAATATTTTTTTTTACAATTTATGTGTATGTTGTGTGTGTGCACCTGTGCAGGTCCCCTTGTAGGCGAGAAGAGGGCATTGCATCCCTGGAACTGGAGTCGCAGGTGGCTGTGAGCCTCCTGACCCGGGCGTCTGTAAGCACGTGCTCTTCCCCTGCTGGACCATTTCGTCAGCTCTGTAACTGTAGATGTATCTGGGGGTCACTTGCTTTGAACTCACCCTCCCACCTTTTCCCTGTTTGCCTCTCTGCCCCATGCCTCCTACTGTCCCCGTTTCCCCTATGCCCTCCCAGGCTCCAGCCATGGATGCCGAGTGCATCTAAGGCAGCAGTTCTCAGTATTGCTGTGGGTTGGAATCACCAAGAAATGCTTAAGCACCTTGATTCGGGGATTACTTAGTCAATCAAACCCTTGAGGTGGTCCCTAGACTTCAAAGTTTTCCGGGCTCTAATTGCCTGCTAAATATTTTTGTCTCTTACTCAGTCTGTAAATAAAAGAACGAATTTAATTAGATGGATTCCGAGTTCATGGCATTTTACTTAGATGCTGTCCACTCTCCCAAGCGGTGTGTAAGTCCCTCCTCTCTCTGTCTCCTGTCTGTCTGTCTTCCTCCCTCTCCCTCTGGGCACACACATGACACAGCAGGACGACTTTAGGGAGTCCATTTTCTCCTTCCACTGAGCTCAAACTCAGGATGTCAGGGCTATGCCACAAGCACCTCATTGGCCTGTCTCCACCTTATTTACTTTACGTTGGAAGTTGTTTTACCTGTTTCATGTATTTACGTGTGCATGTGTACACACTACACCACACATGTGACAGTCTGAGGAAGACTGTGGAGCTGGCTTGTTCCTTGAGCCATGTGGGTTCTTGGGATCAGGCCCAGGGCGTCAGGCTCGAACCATCTGGCCAGCTCTCTCTCTCTCCCTCTCACTCTGCAGCGCCCCTCCCCATACACCGGGATCCTTCTGTTTCCTTGTGCCCAGTGTGTTGGAATTGCAGCTGTGCTACTGGTCTTGGCTTTTACATGGGTGCCGGGAATTGAACTCAGATCCTCATGAGTGCTGTGCAAGCACTTTACTAACTATCTCCTCGGGCAACCCCCCCACCCCCATTTCTCTTTCTCTCTTAAATAAACCATTATGCAGACCTTTCCATTCTCACGTGGGAATGTCACACACTCCATGCCTCCATTTCCATTGCCACAGCCCTAAAAAAGAAAGGGTATTGCCTTGGAATGGGTGTGGTCAAGAAATGACAGTGATTCTATGATTTGGTATCTTGGTATAGTTTATCATTTTGCCCAGAGGAATGAAATGAGGCTAAGCCTTCTCAACTAGATACATAATGTAGGCTATGCGGCTTAACTGTGTTTGCCTTTGTCTCCTCATAGTTAACCCTGACCCTTAAGGGTTACTCTGAGGGTTATGAGAGTTAGTCTTGGAAATGTTTGGTCTACATTCAGACTTCATAAACGTCTGTCCTTGCTTGACTTTGGACTTACTGATTTCCTTCAACTGTATGTGGCATTTTAGGTAATAAAACATAATGCAGGCCTTCATGTGGTTGCTGCGTATAAGCTGCCATGAAGACCATAAACTAAACCTCTGCACCTGTAAGCCAGCCCCAATTAAATGTTTTCCTTTATAAGAATTGCCATGGTCACAATGCCTCTTCATAGCTTCAGAAACCTTAACTAAGGCGATGGTGGCGTATGCCTTTAATTCCATCACTCAAAGACATGTGAATCTCTGTGAGTTCAAGGCCAGCCTGGTCTACAGAGCTAGTTCCAGGGCAACCAAAGCTACACAAAGAAACCCTGTCTTGAAAACCAAAACAAACAATAAAAACAACAAACAAGAAACCCTAAGCAAGACAAGCACTGAAATAAATGTGAAAAATGACAATGACGGCCTAGTCAAAGTCTCT